GAGCCTCTGACGGAATAGATATCAATTTCATGAAGTAAAATACTTAAATATTGATCAAGATCTAATAAATTTAATGTTCCACCAAACTTCACCTCATACAGCCAAAGTTTTTCATTGAATTCAACTATTTGTTAATGTTCAACAACTGCTTTCCACATGTTTTGTATGTTCATGAGGTGAAAGACATAAACAAAGCATGGTTCTTCTTCTACATCGAGTAATTTTTCAACAAATACCGATTGTGTCATTATCAAAACATTTTTGTAATAAATTGTCTTACATTTATCAAGCATTGTTTGATTAATACAATTCTCCTTTCATAAACATTGAGCTAATATTGATAACTGAGCGCAATTTGATGATTTTTAAACATGTTGTTTCAGTAGATACATTATAATTATTCTTATTAGATAGAATAAGGCATTATCGAAGTTGAGATCTTTTGATAAGAGTAATTGCTGGATTTTTGAAATTAAACGATCTTAGAGCTAGTTGTTTAAAATACGACTGTTTTGGTTCGAACCTCATATACGAAAATTTTTGTGGGTGGTCTGTTTTCACAAAATATTCTCGGATATTCTGTAGCAAAATGAATCTTCGGTATGATGAGAACGGGCAAATGATATACCATTAATGATTGGAAATGTGTAGTTAACGACTGAAAATAAGGCAACCATGATTTTCTGAATATTTGTTAATTAAATATAAGTAATTATTTCACTTAGGAATATATAAATATCCAATGTATTTGTCAATTGATCTATAATATCATACAATATAATTGACATCAAATTAAATAAACATAACTTTTGACTTGCTGAACGAACAATATGGACTTTCGTAAGATATTTAGAACGAATTATAGGTGGCTTGTTTTTTATTATCGTTTATTCCATAATTAAACGAATTCACCTTTTGTTATATTTGATCATATGCCATTATTCGTTTTGCTGATTCTTCTTTGAACATTGGTACTATTATGAGCGGGTAAACGCCTACATTATATGAAAACAAAACGACGAATAATGATTATACAAAG